CCCATACCAGCGAAACCTGACACGTAGCTGCAGAAGTGTGGTCCGTTTCTTCCTTGAAGATGAGAAATGGTCCAGAGAGGCTAAAGTCTGAAAGTCCTTGCACCATGCAAGAGCAACCATGCAATGAGGTCCGCGTGGCAGCTGCCATTTGTTGGCGAGAAGCTCTCGAGGGTGAGGGTGTGGAGAGATGTTGGAACGCTTGGAGCTATGAAGAAGGGAATTGCCGTCCCCGATTAGTGCTCAGAATTAGATGGTCGGACCTCAGGCTCCTATGTTTGGGGCGAATTCACATGTTTCAACATACTACTACCTCACTGTGATTTTGGGAGCTCCCATGGAGCGGGAATGTGGACTTTCCCAGTAGTTGATTTGGCTTTGCTAACTTTCCTGTGGTCGGCCAAAGGATTTATCACCAGAGACAACGTGAGGAGCTGTCCTGTTTGTTGGTATTTGTTGGTGTGTGCTCTTGGTTCTCTTCACTTTGAAACATATGAACTCTTCATGTGCACGAGCGGACAAAAAAGGCAGAAGGACCCCTTTGTGACTCGTACCGCTGAACTCTGTGGGGAAGGCAATTTAGAATGAGGTCCTGGCAAGTCCGCCAAGCGATGATATGGTATAGAGGTTCACACGCTTGGAGAAATGATGATGGTGCTGTCATACAGGTCCAGATCGAAGCTGTTGCTCCATTGATATGTCATTAAAGAACTACCAAGAACTTCCACTGCAAGTGGTTTTGGATGTGAAAGAACCACCTGTTCGTCATTCCAGTCAAAAAAAGAAAGCTCCAAAGAGTCCAGAAAATGTGTCATTCATCTTTTTTTCCCACCAAGGGTCATGAGGTCCTTTCCTGTACAAGAATATCTCACTGGTGTCACTTGTCCAGTTTGGACATGTCCTGCTACCTTTTTGAATTCCCACCCAATTCCACCCTCTCCAGCCGCCATCGCCCTGATGCGTTCCGGCAGGCACCATCCCTCCGAGTGTTCAGGTGGACTTCCGTGTTGGCCCGGTGCCCTGGGAAGATGGACGTTCTTTCCCAGATGCTCCAGGTATGGCATAGTGATGCATAATGTATATTTTAATATGCGCTGCATATATATATATATATATATTAATATGCATGGATACGATGTTTTTTTATTATACTATATATATTATATAGTATATAACATATATAATAGTATATTATATAATACATATCATATTTGATATATGACCTATTTATGTATCTACCATGCATGGGTTTCTGAAACCCACCCCCCACTGATGCGGCCGTCCAAATGCCCAACGCGGTGGTGCAGATGGGAGCTCTGAAGATGAATGATTGTGTGCCTTCAGAGAAAGTGTCTGTTGACATGAAGTCGGTCATGCATGGTCATGCGACATGGCGTAGACCACCATAAACCGCTGTAGGCCGTTGTAAACCGTAGACTGATGAATGTGTACGGCACGCGGATGTGACGTGAGTGTCCATGTTTCTTGCAGCTGATCCTCTTAGCATGTGATATGCCCTTTCGGATAATGTACCGGTAAGATGCGGTAAGCGGTTGGCAGTGTTGCCGAAACGTCTATCAATCATGCAGTGGCTTGACTGTGAATCGGCAATCGCTGTGTTTGTTTGTGTCTTTGTTTGCTTGTGTCAAGTAAAAGGTACCCAAAGAACAAACAACAAAACCAAATTGTTCGGCATTTAAGCTCGTTATACAAGCAAAATCAAAGAGATGGAGAGGTAAATCTCCGCTGGATATGTGTGGCTCTCTCTCTCTCTCTCTCGCTCTCTCACTCTCCCTCTCTCTCTCTCTCTCTTTCGGCACTTTCCAAAAGATGATCAAAGGAAGGATCTCAAAATGTTGCACCTCACCACGTTCCGAGGCCGAGCAGAACAGCTCTTGCCACAACTGAGGCGCGCGCGCGGGCGTCTTCTTCGCGCGACGACCGGAAGGGACGCAACCCACCCGGCCTGAAGGCCGAGGTGGAGAACACCTCGAAACCCAAAAGGATCGTCCACATGACCCGAAAGCGACAACAGCTTGGGGCACGAGCCAACATGGGTTCCGGCTCTATATCCTTCGTATTGACCACCCTCCGGATGACTGAGTTTGACCGTATGACCAACCTCCCAATATCCCTAAATTCCCAGGTTCAGGACCTGTGAGTCAGGTTTATAAAGCGAAGATGATTTGATTCACACTGTTCATGTACCAGACACGACCTCTTTGGGACTGGCATATGAAGCCCGATCAGTTGGAGGTGGTCGACTGCCAATGTGTAGGCATATATTCCAGAATGCCATACATGGAGCATCTTTGGTATAGTATAGATTTGAAATGTATTGAGACTTCCCGTTGTTCATTCCCGTTTGATAGGATGTTCGTATTTCGTTCAGAAAGCCTCTTCAGGGGTTTGCATGTCGGAAGGTCTTGAATTGCGTTGGCCTTTTGCAACAGAACCACGACATGTACATATACTTTGGAGTCTCAACGATCCAAAATCATAGAATTCTTGCCCATCCGTCCAGCCATCCATCTATTCGCCGTGGAGCAACGCTAGTAGCAACGCTCCCACACCTGGAGGGTGCATGAACCGCTGGATTTACAGTTGTACAGTATGTAGTGACTGGTCTTTTTGTACATTCGGAAGTAGACTTCTCCATGGAAGGAATCAGCAGCCCAGCGGCTGCCGCTTCCGCAAGCTCAGAAATCCTTTGAAACCTGCGTCACCAGGAGGGAGTTGGGCCCAGAGCGGGGGAAGCCCAGCGGATGGTTAGATCAGGCCACGGTGTGGCGAACCTTTGGTTGAAGATGGTTCCGGTCAGGTTGTGTATATATATATATGTATATATCTAATAAAATATATAGATAGATATTGTGTTGGTCGAAATTCAATTGACCAGACGATGTCCAGATTTTATCTGCAAAACGTGGCCCGGATCGTTTTGATCATGTGGGTCGACAGAAGTTGGTGTACTTTCAAACCGTCGTTTTGACCCACACGGAAGGGGTGGACGGTGGGATGTGCGACATCCTCGGACTCGGTCAAGGCGGGGCGAACGAAAGGACCCGGGTCTACGAACCGTCTACCGTGTTCAAGCGCGAAGTGATGGCACCGGAACATTCCGCGGGCTTCTTACAAGCACTGCCCCCCCCTGAACGGATCTGAGAGTCCATTTGGTCCAGCAGTCAAATGTCTCTTGGGAGTTGATAAGTCATGTGTGTGAGTGAGTGATTGATGCAGTCATGTGTGTGTGTGAGATGTATGGAAGGAACTCTTCATGTTCCAGGACGATCTCTGTTGATCTCTTAATTCTTTGTTTCCGAATTTGGAGGATCGACACGTTCGACTTTGTGCTTCGAATTTGGGAATGGGAGAAGCATGGGAGAAGGTTTGTTCTACCTCTTGAAGAGCTGAAGATAGCTGAAGAGTCAGGAGATGTCAGGAGGTCCCTGAGGGTAGCAACCCGTTCGATTTCGCTGCTCCCTTCGCGTTTCGAAGATGACTTTCCTTCAGCTCGGGGGGGCTGGCGGCCATGTGGAGAGTCAAGGACCCCTTCTCCCACGAGAGAATCATACATGCCACAGATGATTTGGCAGAGTCGCAGTTGTGCGGAATCGCAACACACAGGACTCTCAGGACTTGTCTCCACACAACTCATGAGTGCCTTCCCTCGTCGGTGAAGACCTTAGGTCGGTGGACATCTTGATCCTCGCAGGAAACCAAGGTGGGGGTGCGGGGGAAAACGCGTTTCTGGGTCGGACAGGATTTTGATGGAGTTTTGGGTGCCTTGAAACAGGGATCCCGGTTCCAACATGTTGAAAGAAATATTCGGCCAACCACTCAACCAACCTTTTGGTCAACTAAGCCCTATCTATTTGGCCCATTTGGCTACCTCTTCGGATGCCAGAGCCAAGTGCTCCAATCTTCATCCAATGCCCATCCGACGTCGCCGATCTCCAGTTCGCCGCATAGACGAGAAAAACCGCCCGCTGACCGCGCCATGACGAAGCGGAAGCTGGAAGACGCTGTGTCCTCCTCAGTGGAGGCTCATTTGGTGTCGTCCAGCCCTTACCAGGCGCAGTATGAGCCAGAAGATGCTCGGATGATGCTGGTGGGTAAGAAATGAGAGAAGCTGGCGGAACCCGTCTCAGCTGGGAACTCTGGAAAGCTGGCAGTCAGGGACTGGTGGAGAAGGAGTAGCAGTTAGGGCAAAAGGATTTCCAGCTTCCTTAAGTTCTTAAAACCAGGGGGTGGGCACCAGAGCACGTTTGATGAGTTGTGTGTAGGAGGATTAAGAGCGAAATGGCTAGTTGTTCGTGATCTATTGCACCCGGTACGAGCTTGTGAACCCCCCCAAAGAATCATTGAACATGTGTCAAGTCGAACAGTAGGAACAGTCGAACAGGACAAAGAAACCCAGTTCGTCCCTGAAGTCTGTTTCGCATCAAAAAAATGGAATGGGGTGACGGGGTGATGACTCCGGATGGGAGCTTCCATCTAGGACCTATATAGATCATATGTCAAAAGATGATCTCTGGTGATAAAAAAGATGTTCCCCACTCAGATCGATCGGTGATTCAGTCGGACGAGGGAAGGGCCCCAGCTCCGTGCCGCGCAGAGCTGGTGGGGAACGGACCAGCGAGACACGAGCTGGCTGGGCAAAGGGGCTTGGGTTGTGGTGGATGTGTATAGGTGATGGTTTCGGATATGTATATTTTCAACCCTTACTTGGGGATGATTCTCTGACTCATATGTTTCAAGTGGGTTGAAAACACCAACCAGAATAGGGAGACCTCCCACACAACGAAGCCCAGAACATAGACTGCCAATACTACATGGGTATTGGCCAACAGTATATCCATTACTACTTGGCAGTGGTTCGGAAATAGACCTCCCGATGCCAATAGTATATCCATTTGGGGGGGGGGCCCATGAAAATGCATCACCCGCACGGTGGAAAACGTGAGGAGAAGATCAGCACGGTGGTGGTGGAGAACTTCCCCATGCTGGGGAAGGCTTCAGCCTGGCGATTCCTGGAATGGGCTCAAGGTTCCTGGGCGAAGCGCTTTTGATTCGAAGAGACCTCGCCAAAAAAACTTGAATCAGGTCGATGTCCATTGCATGGTGGGTATTTTGCGTAGGTGTCTAGCGAGTTGAGTATCAGTATGATATGTATTATGTATGCATAGATTGATTGTTGCTGTTGTGATCTTTTGTACCTGCGGCCTCCGTGTGTAAGTGTGAGTATGTGTCTTGAGACACAAGACAACCACCAGCCACTGGGATACCAGCCACCACCACCTATTTCATCCTATTTCCCAGAAACTAAGCCGGGAACTTCAAGACGTGTGCAGGTCAACAGGAGGTTTTTTTGTTTTCGAGGGTGCCATGTGTGTATTTTCTTACAGGGTACCATTTGAAAGTCATTGGTTGCCAGATGTCGTGAGGGTTTCATGAATTCAGAAGAGTTGTTGTTTTGAGTTGTTTTGAGTTGGCTCTACACGTGTAGAATTGATGATTGCGTGCGTTGTTTTGAGTCATCAACCCATGGAATGGGCTGAATTTCTCTCCAGCCAAACCGTGCAGACCAACCTCGATCTCACTGAGGAAACCCGGAAGGCGTGTGTTCACTGCCCACGGGAAAGACACCTGAGTACTTCATCAAGTGGGTACAGCGAATTCTGAAAGAGTGGAATACTGCAGAGATGCAGGCAGAAGCCAAGAAGTTCGGGCTTTCTGACAGGAAGCCGGTGCTTGACAAGCTGACCTTTGTGCAGATTGATGAATTTTATCCTATTTCACCGCAGCAGCACAATAGTTTTCATTACTATGCGCCTGACTTGCATTTGTGCCATTTTGCATAATGTGTACAAGAAATTATATAATGCACATAGCCCAATTAAGCTGTTAAACCAGAGGTTGGAACCAAGAGGGTGTTGTTGGACAGCCAACAGCCCCCCGTGAAGAAATTGTGCGGCTCAGCCTAACGATGCCATATAGGCCGCCAACGCCCTTTTCAGCATATGGATCTTCGATGTATAATAACATAGGGAGACCTCCCCGGCACCCCCGTGGAAGAAAGGAAATAGATTATATAGTCTACTCATTGGCTGGGTGTCTCCCTATTAACATGTACACCCATATACAACCAATGGTCGCTGACCGGTCTTCTCCTACCGGTTGGATCGGTCTTCGAGCGTACCGCCGTGTGCGATCTCGTACGGCCGTGCCACAGGGATGGTTGAGTGCAAGTTACGAAGCACCACCGTCCAAGGTACATCCATTCACAGTGTACATAACAACTGACCTGTACCCACCCTCAAGAAGAACAGGCAGGGTCGAAGCCATCATATGCGCGTGCTCCAGTATGTTCGGGAAGTTCATCTTAACCAGATGGCTACGGGTCATCATCGGGGCACGGTTGACCAGAGATTGTTTGAAGCGAATGGACGGCTTCCTCGGAGGAACCTAGCCTGGTGAAAGGGGGGATTTGGGTTGACCAATCCATCCATCAGATGATTTGACCGTGACTCAGGTGAATGAGTACTACATCAAAGGTTTCGGCTTGGACCCCTCCCGGGCCTTGCTCATGGACTGCTGCTGGGTTTGGTGGCGGGGTGCTGCGATGGGTGAGGTTTGCATTTGCTTCGCCGGCATTGAGTTGACGTGTGTGTGTGTGTTGGAGAAGAAGAAGGAACCGTACAGGGTACAAAACAAATGTTCCAGAGGCGAAGAGGATAGTTGGATGTAGTTGGCATTCACGTGATGACCAACATCTTTGTTGAGCTTTTTGAGTGGTGTCATACAACTGTTTTCATGAAAGGAGATAAGAAAGGGCACTCTTTGTGGGTTCCATGGCCTGTTTTGTTGATCCATAGTTGGAACCATTGATCTCGTGAATAGTTTGACCGGCGGGTCCCAGGATGTTTGATTGATTTTTGCAGACGAAGAAGAGACCTATGTCCTAGACATGCAGAAACGAGGAAATATGTCCCAATTCCCACTCCCAAGAACCAAAGCTTTTCATTTTGCCTGCCAAAAGAAAGGCTTTGCATTTACACGAACCTTCGATCGTGGTTTCCTGGGTCGACATGAGAGCAGATGAGCTCGAGTTATGACCGAGGCTCGAAGATTGGATTGGACCGGGTGAAGGAAAGCTTTGGGCCCACTGGAGAGCCACAAGATCATTTGCAGATGAGCCACTCACAGAGATGACTGGGGAGAGGATCAGACTTGGTGGCAGACCGGGCAAAAATAATAACATCGCGGTGATTTGTTTGAGACCGGTCTCAAAATCCCATGGGTCATAAGTCATGGTAAGTTGTTTTGAAGTTGTGCGTCCGAGAGACCTTTTGTGACTTTTGGACGAGTTGAAGTTGATGAGATCTTGTAGGTTGGGTGATTGGCTTGCTTTTCCTATGATGGTATTTTAGTTGAGCGCTGGTGTCTGTTTACCTGAGCGGGGGTTGTATAAATCTATTAATGGCTAGAAAACAGATTGTTGAAGGCAAGTTGGCTTGTTCATCAGGAGTGCCATTCCAAGTGGACTTGATGTGTTGCATCACCCAGGTTCAATTTGAGAGTGTTTGACTGTTCCAACATGTGTCCCTTCCACAGGACTTTGTCCAGAATCTCATTGACTCAGGCATACAAGAGCTGCCAAGTGGATTCGATAGGCCACATCCTTCAATACACCCATAATCTCCCAACCTCAACCACTCAGCAGCTCTGGACCCTGCATCTGGCGGACCCCCATATTTTTGAGACTTCGGAGTCCCGCCCCGTCGGCAAGATGACGCCGTCGTACCATGTCGTACCCATCGTCCAGGTATGGAGGACATTTGGTCCGACGGCCGGGTAGATCTCACCCTGCGGACCCGGGAGCCCACCAGTCGACTGGAGCGGTTGCAGCAACGAGTGCTTCGGCAGGTCGGGCGATGCGAGAAGCGGCCGGGGGGGTTCCCAGCGAAAGACGGGTGGGTTGAGTCTGGATGAACAGAAGGTGATGTGAAAAATGATGAGAAATGGGTAGAAGGGTGTGGTTCCTCCAACATATCCTTAAGCTTGAAACCTGAAAGCAATGGAAGGACACACGTTTCATTCAGTGAAAACCAACATATGTTTACCACTTGCTGATACTTGCTGGTACCAAATCCTCAGTTCTCGTTGGGACACGCGGATATGCTTGCATCTTACATAATAGATGGAGCTCCAAAAAAAAGTGGGCCTTCCTGAAACCCCTGTTTGGCAAAGACAGCTTTAAGCCATGGCGCCACATGGGATGCTGTAATGTTGCTGACCCAGAACCTGGGTTAGTGTGCTGAAGACCCTTCTTTTCCACGTTCAGGCTCCCAATTCACCCCGTCGGATCCGCCGATCCGTCGACCCTGTTCGGACCGGACGGTGGCAGGTGGACCAATGGTGTGCCGAATACGAAGGAAAGATCCGAGCACTTGGCGGCATCGGCTTCTTCATGGGACTCTTGGATCTTCCATTCGGCTTTCGTCCTGTTCTTTTTTTGGGCCTTTGCGAACGCATACGGATGGTATGTAAGGAGCTTGGGGTAGTGGGGGTACTGGATGGTACTGGGCTCTTCAAGTCATTCAGTGATTTGGCCTGTGACCTTTTTTTCCTACCTGCAAAGGCTGCAAAGGGCTTGAAGATTCTGCCATGTTTACCAAGTCTGCCAACAATCTTTGCAGGGGACGTAGACCACACAGTTAAACCATCAATGGACGATGAAAGAGAGATTTGTTCGACAAACCTCAAAAAGACAAACATCGCACGAGAATGTGTATATATATATATAAGTATATTTATATATACTACATACAGATACATACAGTATACCGTATACATGGGTTGTTGACGTTATGATCCCTATTAGTTCCCACGTCCACCCAAATCCACTGTGGAGAGACTGGATGAACTCGACTCATCGACGAGAATGACTCGACTCGTCGATGTCCTTCGATGTCCCTCGGCCCATGCAGCCGTTTGAGGTGGCATTGGGCCAGATGGGCATGTCGCCTTCAATTGCCAAGGCGGACACGGGATGGGTGATGCATGAATATTGCATGGGTGTTGCATGGGTGAACCATGGTGTGAGAACACCCCAAGTTTCAGACATTGGAACGTGAGGAGATCAGTAGTTAGGGGTGATGTGTTTGCCCCAATGCCAGGGTGGGGGCCTATGTTAGTTGTCTCATGGGTTGAGCTGGGGAAGGAGGATGTGAGGATGAGGTTTGTTTCCAGTAGATGGTCTTCCTCAATGAACGTAATCCGATGTGTGCCGAAGGTACGATGAAACAGGATCTATACAATTGGTGTATCATGTCATCCGGCCAGTGGTTTCATGTCGTTTCATAAGTCTTGGGTCTTTGTCAATGCGCAGAAAAAATGTTCACTTCTCGGCAATATGGAGGTTATCCTTCCAATTCTGCCATTGAATCCGTGAAGGAGGCTATTCTTGTGGCGGAATACCCCAAATCCATCCTACACAAGGCAGGGATGTCGGCGACACCATCGACCCAAGCCGGGAGTATATATTAAATATATATATATATATAGGCCTTGCTCCTTTACACCCACCATACTCCCATGCCATTCGATTCCAGCGAATTGTCCGCCTCGCCATTCAACTTCCACCCCACACACCTCACTACCACCCACTACTCTCCACACAACCACCCATAACACGCCGTACTTCTCGACCCAAACCGAGGCTGCGATCACTTCTCCACCACTCGGCTGGACGAGCTCAACTACCCCTCTCAGGCGGCCGCAGCGGGCGACCTGGGCGGCATCGAGGCGGTGCGCAAGAGGCGCGAACGCCGCGGACGGCTGTGGGTGAAGGGGGCGGTGCGGTTGCGGGTGAAGGAGAGGGGGGCGCACACCGAGGCGAATCAGGTGTTTGTAGGCGGTCTGAAGCACGGTGATCTGGGATGAAGAGTTCGTTTGGAACGGGAGCCAGAAAAGCACGGGAGCCAGGAGTCATGACACAGACCCACAGAGTCCTCACTCTTCCCACTTCAGACTTGAGGATCCAGCAGCTGAAGGTTGACAAAGTACAAAACATGCAGCCAGGTTGGGTCGTAAGAAGGCAGGGGATCATCTGGATAGGATGTAGATTTGGAATGGTGATGAAGTGAGGTCGAGTAGTCTAGACTTTGCTGAGCTGTTGCCCTGTTTGGTCAAAGTATTGCCCTTTGTTTCTCATCAAAACAGGAGTCAAAGAAGGTTCCCAGATAGAATATAATATAGGTGTTTAATTCATCACCAGATGATTCCAAGATACTTCGCCAGGAAGGTCATCACTATCGGCTTGGGCACGGTGACCTTCAACCCGCGCTGCGTGGCGCTCATCTGCGCCGCGGGTGAAGCTAAAGCGCAAGTGGTCAAGCAAGCTGTCGAGGACCCCCACAGACCGAGAAAACGGTCATCGCACGGTCCTCGCACGCCCAAGTCGGGCGAAGTGTCTTTGCGGGGCACACCTCGTACGGAAAAGGAGACGAACAGATGAGGTGTTGAGGTCTAACACCTCATCCCGAAGGCCGTGGCCTGGAGGCCTCGTGACAATGAGGGTGTTTTCGCCGCAAATTGGTTGCTCGCGATGATGTTGGTCGACCAAGAGAGTGAGAACATGGGTCCTTGGAAACAAAACTGGTTCACAAGCTTGAGCACTTTCAGGGCAGACGATGTCCGAGATGTCACGCGATGTTCATTGATTCGTACTGCACCAGGAAGATCCGCACGTCAACTTCCCCGCGACAGCTCTCCATAAGCTGCCTCGGGCTGCTCAGACTGGATCTGGGTCAAAGCCTGGAGACCCAAAGCCATCCAAAACCATGGTCTCCATTCGGTCCATTCATGTTAAGTTCCTAAAGTCATGATTTGGTGACGGTTTCCTAATTTTAGGTGTGCCAGGGCAATGTGAGATTGAGTTAAATACTTTGAACTACACATCCTTGCGCAATTCATGACCCTTGGCTAACTAGGTCTCAAGGGGCTAACAGCTCTAACTGTTTCCCGGATGTTGCTTTGATTCTTTGAGCCAGGCCATCTTCCGGCCCTTTTGTAAGCATAGTTGTTTTCATGTGTGTTCCTTCAGCAGGCGCGGTTGCAATTCTATATCTGTGTACAGTAAGAGTGACAGCACTCGTTCCACAAGTCCACACTCTGCTTTGCTGATCGTTTCATGCTCAAATCCATCCCCAGATCATCCCAGATCCATCATCCACCCCAACAGCCGCCCAAACCGCGCCCTCGCGTCCACGTATAAAAGAACGAAAAAAGAAGAGCCTTCGCATTGAGAGAGAATACGCCACAAAACCACCCCCAAAAGATAGGAACTGCAACACAAGGGCAGAATGCTTCAAGAAGCCCGGACAAAAATCGAAGTAAACCAATGTAAATCTGTTTTAAAAAATGAACACCACCCCTAAAAGAGCACTATGGTCCAGCGCTCCGCCCAAAAGCAGGCATCCGGGGCGTTCCCTGATGGCAGCACCTGCCCCGAGGCGTGTTTCTTTTTGACCTCTGGCGCTGCGAAGCTCTTGAGCCGTCGACAGCTGGCTCTCCTGGAGACTCTCAAGGACTGGACCCCGACCCGGTTCGCGGTTCCGACAGATTCTTAGATGGAATGTAATGAGGGTACAGATGAGGTAACCACACCACACATTGTCATGTTCAACCAATAATTTGAATGCTGATTGCTCGGTGCTTTTCACACGATCAATTCCCCGAACAGTTTGTGTTGCTCGGACTCCAGTGACTGTTATCACGCAGTAGCAAAGCTATGTTGTTTGTCATCGGTGCATCGAGTCATCCTCGGGTCATCGACATGGCCCCGTGTTTTTCTTCGGAAAATTCGGCGGTGTCCCACCCCCAAAGCTTGGTACAAGTATGTCACAGCTCCATGTCGAGCTCCAATGGTCACAAGAGATGTCACAGGTCTTTAAAACCGATTGCTTCAGAACCTCGCGAAGTGTGTGTCCTAAAATCTTGAGATGACTGCCCAGGCGATTGATGACCAGCTGGTGGAGAAAGCCTTGGTGTCCCTGTGCTGCCAGCGGCGGAAGAGGTGAGGCGGTTTTCTTTGTGGCTGGGTGCATGATGAGTATTGATGAGTCGAAGAAACACAAATCGAATTATAACATAAATCCACTTCGCAATACGCTGCAAATCAACGAATCCTTTGTGGCTAGGTGGGAGGAGGAGTCAAATCCTCACCATCATTTCGACCGCGAAGGCTGCTGGACCTGACCGCCACAGACCTCAGTGCGTCGCCCTTCGCGGCGGAGGTGCTGCGCAAGGCGGGAAAGCCGCTGAAGGACTGCGCGGAGCAAGTGAGGAAGACCTTGATCCAGACGCCTGGAGTGTTCAGATCCCACGGTACAGGTCGGTGAGAGGAGCATGTGTTCTTTAGACCCAGTCTGGGTGGAACCATGCTGCTCACTATTAGATGACCTCACTTTTTTTTTGCAGTGTTCGGCATCAAAGATACATTCCGTTCCTCTCACTATTTTGGGGCTGCTGTGGCCAGTTGAGTCAGTTGAGACTTACTTCTTTCACACTCGCTTCTTTTCGAAGAAAAGAAGCCGGAAGGTGAACCATACGGAACCCCTCTCAGAGGAAGTGAAATAGCTGTTGAGCCGCGATGACCCCAGGCCCAGCTGGGTATGTGTTGTGTCTTGGAGAAGAAGGGGTGGATTTCTTGTTTTTAACCCTTGTAACAGAACTAATGATGGGTTAGTTATTGTTTCGTTGTTGGTTGGACAAACTTGGGTGTTGAAATCTAGCATGTGGTTTCTCAGCAAGTGCATTGGGACCAAAGTGTGGCATGTGAGGAATCCAAGCACTTCTTCATTTATCAATATAACCAGTCATATTGTTTGCATACTTCTTGTTCAAAGACTCTGTTCCACCTATGCCTTGCGGCTGCCCCCATCCCATCAGCAACGGACAAAAATCCTCTCACGACTTCCAGTGGAGGGAAGGGTGGGTGGCCGTCCCTCGCCGTGTCCAAGGAAGATTGAACGAGGCTGTCAGGCCGGAGGTGTTGACGGTCAAGTTCTGAAGACGGTGGGCTGGGAGCCTCCAACCTCTCTCAAGAGGTCCAAGTGCGAATCAAGAGGTGCTCCAACATGGCAGTGATGGCGAATCGACCCAAACCACCCGACTCATTGAGACGCTCCACAGCAACCCACATGGCCACGCTTTGAAATTGAAAAGAGGAGTGGACGATGGGTACATCAGATCCTTTCAAACATGCTGACTCTGTTTGTATTGGTGGGAGCGAACCAAAGTAGAAACACCATGTACAATGACCTCCACCATTGTGGAATTCATGATGTGACTTTCTTGCTCTCGCATCTCTTCGTACATCACACACTGGTCCCCGAGCAGCTCCCAATGCTCTCGAGAGCTGGTATCCGCCTGCATAGAGGTGTTTCAGGATTGCAAGTTGCAAGTGAGGACCTCTGCCTAATGATATAATTATACAATTGCTCATGTTTGTCATGTCGGTTGCAGTAGAGTCTCCGCTTCTCACCACTATCCTTTGCACGAAGTGCCAAAATAACAAACACTGGTTGCATATGGATTGCCTTGGTTTTTGGATTAAGCATTTAAAATTTGGGTAAAATCCGGTGAATCTGATGACTTCGACATACTTCGACCGTTTGACCACATGACTTCGCCCCTCCGCTGGGAGAGCACTGGCCCGAAAGACTCCAAACGGGGAAAATAGCCAGTGGTTTGAGGTTTCAACATGAACCGTGCATCATGCACAGACTTCCCTGTTTCGTGCAGGTGAGAGAGAAATGCCAGTTCTTGCACACAGAGCCGCACCATGATGACTCCTGATGCAGCAAAGACCCTACCGGCCTACCCCAAGTAATTGTTAAAGGTTTTACATAAACCCATAGGAGCAAGGACGCTACTGGTGTTCCTGGCACTACTACTAGTAACAAGAAGCTTCTAGGAACAAGGGCATCTCTACTAGTAGCCAATTAATTTACTACTACGGACAACATCAGATTTCAGGGATCCAAGTCTTTGGCTTCCGCAGGAGAGTCATGACCCCCACAGGCTTGGAAGTGAGAAGGGCTGCTTCGAACTCACCTGAGGTGTCCACTTTCCAAGCTGCGCAATTCACTGATGCTTTGAAGAGGGTTTATCAAGCAAAGGCGATCAGAGCATTTGTGTGCATTTCTTCAGATATGATGATGGATGCCCTTATCAACCAGCCAGTTACCTTCACCAAACGCGGCTTTGGAGCAGAAAATCGAGGACGTCATATATTAGGGCGCTATTATGCTCGGTGGAGGCCATCGCAAGATATCGCAAGTAGGTTGGAGGCCATCACAACTATACGGGTGAAACTTGCTTTGAGGACATCATGCTGGGATATTTGCCTGCGGTTCTACGTTCCACGCGAGTGGCCTCGAATCAGCACCACTTCGTTTGCGCCACCAGCGGTTTCAACTCGGTGTCCAACAAGCACATGTGTCCTGGATGGTCCAAAGGGGTGTCCACCAGCTTAGCACGTGTGACATGCTGTTTGTTTCATGTTTTTCCTACTTAGTCTAAGAGTCTAAGAAACGGGAAAAGGCTCGCTTTCAGTGAGTGACGCTCCTTCGCAAGACCAAAAGAAGCGGCTAACTGTAACTTGATACACAACTGATCCTCGAAGGCGAGGAAGACTTATCCTCGAGTGTCAAAGTCCGTCAATTTTGCAGTAGATGTCTCTTTCTCTGTCACTACACTCCCTGAAGATACACATGGAAGTGGATGGCATAGCCACAAAAGGATTACTGTGACTGTACCATTTTCCAAAGATTCAAAACAGCTGATGCACTCCACGAAACCATGATTTATTTCAGGGAGTGTACACCTCCTAATTATTAGATATCCCCTTTCAGGCTCATGCTGCTGCAGCGCGTGGAACGCTTTTCCCAGTCGCCCACCTTCCAACGCCTTTGCGCCGAGAAGTACTTCAGCGCCGACGCGGCGCTGGGCGACGCGGCGCTGGACTTCCGCCGCCGCGACGTGTGGAAGTTCTTGGACGCTCGGGAAAGTCCCGACCCCCGCGGGATCCCGCGGGTGCCGGCATGGGGGGGTCGGTTGTGGGGGGGTCTGTAGGCATGGGTCTGCGGGGCATGGCAAAAGCCACCAGGAAGGTTGAACTGATGAACTGAGGACGATGAGGTGCAGGATTGGGTGCTTGGGCTGGAGGAGTCCAGCTTGATGGAATTGCCACTAAGTGGGTGAACACTGATGAAGCGAACATGGGACTGCGGGAAGAAGGCAGGTAGGATCAGCTAGTGCATTTCAGCTTGATTCTTTGTGAAGCCAGGGTTGCGTCACGAGGATGGTATTGCCGCCGCTGACGACGAGCTGCGAGACGAGGGCGCTGCGCGGCGGCTGGCGTCTTGGGTTTGGAAAGGTGCTCCAGGTGGTCCAGGTGAGGAGGGTGGTCCAGGTGAGGAGGATGGTCCTCCATTCAAGTGGGGGGGTGTGCTCAGTGCTTTATATGGACCCTTATCCAAAGGACATGTAGGGCCATTGTAGGGGTGCCACTTTGAAACCACTGTAGGAATTCTTGGCCTATGTCGGGAGGTTTTCAGGTGCAATCTAGGCCTCAGCGGTTTTTCGGTGTGACCAAGCGGTCGACCGGTGTGATACCATGGGGTGCCTCCCCAAAAACACGCACTTACGTGACACTGGACTCCATGTTCCATTCCAAACTGCAAGTATACCTGGATAGATATGATGATATTTAAAGTGATGAACTTGATCTTCGAAGGTGAAGGTTTCGCGGTCGTCCTCGTTCTTCTTCCGACGTCTTCTTCTACCACTTGCTCTCTCTCTCTCTCTCTCTTTCCCTTTTGGCTGCATCGATGCTGCATCGGTGCCTCGGTTTTTTCAACCAAAACCGACCAAGGGATTGATCGCTCTTCGCTGTCCAGACGTCTCATCCTTGGCATCACACGCGTACCGGTTTCCGCACCTTCCCTTCGGCGTTACGCCTCCGTCACCGCTGATACGCTCGCGACGCGTTCACGCGTCTCATCGCTACGCGGTCGCAGTTCGCTGCGCGTCTCATCGGTGAGGTCTTCAACTTGTGTCAGATCTTTGGAGAGTCCTTGGAGAAGGGCGACTCTTCAGGTCTCCTGCAACGAGTTCAAGGCCGTCTGACGTGACTGACGTGACGTGGTGTTTTTTTGCTTTTCGGTCATCGGCAGGTCATGGGGGATGTGGTCCGGAAGAGCGTTGGGGAAGCGATTCTGAGTCGAGGGGTTCAGAGTTCGAGGCCTGTCAAGAAGAGGATTTGTGAATAGGATTTGTGCGTCAAAACCTGAACTGGAGGACTGAAAGACTACTTTCACAAGCAATATGCTGGACAGAAGGATGAAAAAGATGTGCAGACTCTGATGCTTGCTCTGAACATTTTGTCGCGGCGGGCGCCCTGGGAAGGCCCAATGTGTCTTTTACGTAAGCCTCTTTTTGCACCAAACCTGGCATATCGAATCAGAATGTTGAAGGGTCTACAAAGACTGCCTGTGTTCTTGTCTTAGTCAGCTCGTTCGTTGTATGACCACTCCCCTCGCACCAAGGAAGGGCTCTTGCCGGGAATTCGAGGCCGAATGTGTCTGGGGGGCACCTTGGCGAGTGGGCTTCCCCTCGCGCCGGCCCACGAGCAACGACACGGTCACGACATCATACGACACCACTTTCTGAATGCAACTACCAGGACCTTCAAGGGGTGGTTAATGGACACCCCGAATCACGGCTAAAGGGCTATAAATAGACACCCCAAACGGAGGGTCCTGGTATGTGAGGAATCTCTGGGGAATACTATAGGGACTTGGGATTTTTGTGTGGTTTTTATGGCATGCACATGAAGAGGCGATGTTTCAACTACACCTTGACATACTATGAGGAAGGAAACCATAGAGCAGAGTCGAGGTGGCCGAAAGCGTTTGTTCACTGTTCTCCTCAAGTCTACAGTCTACTGGTACTCCGGTGTGGATGTAAGTACTCAAGTGAGTGAAGGAGCGACTTTCAGCATATCCTTCACTGGCAAACCAAGAGAGGCTGAGAGAGGTTAAGAACTAGGGCCCTGTAATGACTGTAGTGGTTTCTTTCTTGGATGGGTGAAAAAAAGGGCTGTTCAACCTCTCTAGGAATTGGTTCCATTTTGACCTTTTTGTGGTTTCAAAGTGAAGGGTCACGGCCTTGCAGCTGAGAGTCGGGTCACGGCCTTTGTCACTCCTTCCATTCTGCTGCTTCATTCACTGCTCCGACGTTGGGGACTCTTGCGTTTGCTTCAGAATTCACAGGCAACTTGTACAAGTGCTTTTCACATCTTTTCACCAGAATTCTATGGGGTGGCCATCTTTTCTTTCTTTCTGTGTTGCCGAGGGCGGTTCGCCCGTGGGGGTGGCCATCAAGAGAATCAAGAGACACAAAGGACTCATTTCAATCTGCTGTACGGCCCACCATGCCGGGCCGTCCAGCCGTGTGGTTTGGTAAACGTGGTTGAAGAAGGCTGGCCAGGAAGAGGATATTGAAAACAATGGAAAAGCGCCACTGCAACTTCACAATCTGTTATTGTTGTCATACTCTTCAATTTTTGCTTGGAAGCACACCATTAACACGAATCAAGAACATTCAAGAACATGTATATAGATATCTAAATCTATATGTAGACCTTCGACTTGTTTTTCCGAGGTACATTGGTTGGCAGCTCCCCAACATCTCCCACCTTCGCTTGGGCTTTTACACCGCCGATATATTTGCGCCTGAGCCCACGCAGCAGCGCGACGTGTTGCCGGTGCTGAAGCTGCTGAAGAACGTGCAGCCGGACGTGGCTTCGCTACAACGGGAGAGTCGAGAGGATTGGTTGATGCCGGAGCCTGTGAGACAGTGGTATGCAGCGTGTGGAAGTCTGGAGGAAATGAGAAATTTCTTGGGTTGATGAGTGTTAGATGAGTATCCGGGTATTCACATGGATATTCTGAGTGCTAGACCTGGATTTCCCCAGCGTTTCAGCTCTTCAATGGGCGGCTTCGAGCCTTCGACCGATGTCCCCGACGGTCTGCGTCTTCACGTCCGTGCGCTCGCCGTGAAGTCCGTCCTGGCCATCCCTTTCGTCTTCATAAGGACAGGAGCCCTAGTAGCGTCCTTGCTCCGTTCGTAGCGATGCCCGGAGCCCTAGTAGCTTCTTGTTACTATAGTAGTAAGGCCAGGAGCCCCGTTCGTAGCGATGCACCTTGTTCGGGAAGAACCTCCATCCAGGGTTCCCAGGACCAACGGTTCCCTGGAAGATTGGGAAGCGTCAACTCGCGTTTTTCGTCCTCGCCATCCCTTTCCTTCCCTCAAGGGTCAAGCCGACCGATGTGCTCGGTGCGTTTTTGATCTTTTTTGCCAAAAAGCGGATGGACCTGTTGTGCCATGTTGTTTACAGTTGTTTGGCACGGTGCTCGTACCTTCCCAAGATGTTTTTTCTGGAATCCTTCAGGAGTACTGGCCATGGTCTTTAGCCCCACCAGAAACCTGCAAGAATACTTCTAAAGCCACCTTAAATGCAGTTAAGCCACGAAATCACAGCCACTTCCAAGCCCACCCTGACAAGCCCACCATGCCACCTGCAGGTGGTGTTTTTTCCACGGAAATCGGCTCTTCCAACCGCTTTGGTGTCCCAACCCCCCTTTGGACCGGACTGAAGAGTTGGCCGAATCGTTGCGTTGGTGTCGAAACAGGTGGTCACTGTGGCCTTGGATCCGGAAGCCTCGGGGCCGGACACCCATTACAAGGCTCACCGGCGCTGGACTGGGTGCGTGTTCTGGTCCCAAAGGGGGGCTGAGGAGATGAAGGCGGCTATAGATGTCTTGATGTTCTCGGTCGCAACTCGTCTCTGTTCCTATGGGCATCCTATGGCCTCCTGCGTCTGGGGCGCCCTGCGTCTGAACGCGGATTCGGGGGATCTGAAGGTCTGAAAGCCATGCGGTCGAGATCGTTCTGAAAGGGACCATGCCCATCCAGAGGCGTCATTCGCACCATCCTGTCCGGGAGTGTCTGGAGATCCCGGAGAGTAGTCCCCAGGCCCATCACATCCCATAAGGGTCCATAAGTCTAGACTATACTAGATGAAGTGGTTTACACAAAGCAACACCAAGCTCTTCAAGCGGGCAAACTGCCTTCACCGGCGGGCTTTTGATCCCGTGGCTCTAAATACAGTATATCTACGAACATCTGCAAACCATTCTGGAAAAAAAAAACTCTAAAAAATCCGAGTCTGAAGATGAAACTTGCCACATCATCCCATGCCTCGCCTCGTGGCCCGTCGACCCGACCGGAGGTGCTTCAAGCAGTGACCTCAGCTTTGCAACAGTACCTGGGAGCCATGCAGTGTGACATCTGGGATGTGAGTGGAGACAGGGGAAACAGTGGAGGCTTCAAGATCAGTGTTTGACTGAAACAGATCAAGATCGGGTGATGGTTTCGGATATTTTTACTTTCAACCCTTACTTGGCGATGATTGGACCCTCTGACTAATTGTTCAAGTGGTTTGAGATGCCTTTGGGGGGCCTCCCGGGTGGCCAGTGTTGGTATGGTTCGTTCCCCTTGCACTTGGTATGGTTCCCCTTTAGGGTCCCATGGAACTTGGAGGCGTCGAAGAAGTGATGCACTCTTGACACCTTCAGAATCTGAGGATCAAAGACTCAAAGCTATTCAAACTGATCTGCAAGATTTGGCTCTGGGTTCATCTACAGGATCTACAGCCTCCAAGATTGCTGTGTAATTGAAGGAAACAAAGCACCAGAACGGAACTGCTGGATTCTATGCAGTTCTCTTAACTGCTCCCAATAGATTCAGGTTTGACACTGAAGACAATTCAACGTATGACTGTCACTGTGCACGCTTGACCTGAAATCTTCTGGGCTCTGGAGGCACGCAGAAGAAACCAAGAGAGACGACATCACTGTTTGGGGCTATCGCAATGCTTCTTGGAGCAGCATGGACAGCCATACTGGACATCCCGCACCCTGTGAGATGGAAAGTCACCACTGGGGGGTCTCCTTTGCAACATTGGCTGAACGTTGAACGTTGTTGAAGTGTTGCTCATGAGACCCTGGGAGGAGTAGTTCACCACCAACCACTCAAGAGGAGGCGGCTTCGCCTGGTCATGAGGCTTCAAGATGCCGGCATCAGGGAGGTGCTGCATGTTGCTGCCGGCCCCTCGAGGTAGATCTGAAAATCATCACCGCAGCCTCTCAAGCCAATCCAAGACGAAGGAAGCAGCTGTGTAATTGAATGTCAGTAAGTCTTATTGTTGCTACTAGTAAGGCACTTGTTTCTAGTAGCTCTTGTTACTACTAGCGTGGCACTTGTTACTACTAGCGCGGCACTTGTTACTAGTAGCTTCCTCAGTCTGAGTCTTCGAACTTTCCTGAGTTCAGGTCCAGGCAGATCTAACGTGACTTCAGATGCGCCGTAGACTCGACGCTTCACGGCCGAACGACTCGTCCTCCGCGTGAAAGCCGGCCGGCCGAGGTGTGGTTCCGCTTCGAACCCCACGAGGTCTCGACGATCATCCCCGTGTCCCTGCAAACGATCTCCACGCTGAACCACATGCCTCTCGGTGGAACCGAAGCGAAGACGAACCGGTGACCGAGCTTCGGACCGTGGCGTGGTCCGTGGCACGGTCGACGGGATCGCGCCGTTTCGGTTTGGGACCAATCCCAGAGGCCTGAGTCCCGCGGCGGAGTCCGAGTCCCGGGGTTCCGCTTGGTTCGCGCGGGTGTGGGCCGGAGACCCAGTGGTCCACCGTCGTGGTCACGTGGTCACGTTGCAGGTTGTGCTTCATGACTCCATTGGTTGTCGGGTGATTGGGTAGTTGATACAAGTTACAAGTTGCTTTTCTGTGAAGCCAAGGAGGATTGTCACAAGAGGCTTGGCCCAGCAAGTCGAAGAAAGGTGATTGATACGATGTACGAACCCTAGGGAGTGTCCCAGTAAACCAATGACAAGTCGGTAAAAGAAGTGTTTGGGCATGCCCTCCTTGTGATCCAACTTTAAGGGAGCCACGAAGGTCTTCAGTGTTTGTGCTGCAGTTGGGTTGTCGCTGTGGTTTGTTTATCCACTAGTGGAATGTCAGGTGTTTGATCTAGAATCTAGATAGTCACTTGAAGTGTCCGATTAAACCCTACAGATCACACGGCACCTCATTCGATCCTGTTCTGTGTGTGATCTGTAGAGAGAAGAACTGAGATAGAGAGAGATGCTATCATTCTGGGAGACTTAGCGGTTTGGATGAGTTCGATTGAAAGGTTTGGATGAGACCGGATGAGCAGAAATACATAGAAATACCCAACACGAAACAGCAACAGTTCAGGGAAGTGTGTGTGTGTGTATATACTAGCTAAACTGTTTCTTGGTCTGTCCCGGACTGAGGGACCTGCCGTTTGTTTTATCGCATCCTGCCATGGTCGCATCGAGGTTCCTGAACTCCTTCGAGTCGCAACGCCACGCGGAGTTCCCCGCCTATGAGATTCAGGGCCCCTTTTGCGCGATGAGCCAACGAGTGCAGGTGGAACAGTACGACATCATTGAGACGTGCTTGGGACGCTTGGCCGAGTTGATGGACGGGATGGATGGACAAGTTGGGAAGGGAATATGATGGAATACGAATGGATCCCCTTTCGACGGGACCATTCATGGTAGCCCCCCCTTTCGACGGCACCATTCATGGTAGCCGGTCATCAAGGGTATTTGAAATGTGTTTGGGTTAAATGATATATATGAATTTATATTATACAATTTTAAAGTGTCCACTGCTTTGGACGCTATAATTACCCACCCAGATTACCTGAGGATACGAATGGTTCCACAAGCACCCTTCACCTTTGATCCGCGCCACACGGGGCCTTGTCTTCCTGCGGGAGATGAGTGTCGAGCAGCTGTTGGCGGAATCCCGAGCACTTCGGCAACAGACAGAGAACCTCTCCTGAGCAAAAGCAGGGCTTTCACCGGGCGGAAGCACGGCGGGCTGAAGTTGGGGCTCTTGCCTGGCGGAAAAACATCCACGTGACCAAGATCGAGGTTGAACCTTTTCCAAAACTCAAGAAGAGGTCTCTACCAGGACCTTCCAACAGGTGGTTTTTGGGCACCTCTTGACCTCTAAGAGGCAATTTATAGACACCTCTTGGAAGGTCCTGGTATGCGTTTTAGGTTTATGAGCCTTTTTGGAAGGCTCCAAGGTCCGAGGTTCCACAAGTGAACGGAGAATTCCTGGGTGGAAGATCAAGTTGATGTTTTAGTTCAAGAATCAACTGGAATTGGTAGTATGGGAAGCATCAAAGGTTCATACGAAAATATGCTGAGTTAGAAGGAAAGCAAGGAACTTCAGGATTGAACAGAGTCAATTTCACGGATTTCTGGGACCGGAACATTGTCGGCCGTTGGTGGAGAATGCAGATGCGATCGTCGGTTGTTCATGCGTGCCACCGGAAGAGAACCCCAGCGGTCGTGGATGATGGAAGCGGCATTTTGTGCTGTCCTGGCGTCGTTTGTGCATGGCAAGGAGCTGCCTGACAGTTGCGGCCTGCGGCCTGCGGCCGGAGACAAGAGCTTTCCAGGTGCTTTCCGGTAGTCTTAGCTGGATGCACAGGTATGCATGTGGCATTGTGACTGTGTTTACTATCTCAGGCCAAAGTCATGAGCAGTCACATACTTGCACGTCTTCCCCATCCCAATATTGAAGCCTGTGTACTGTGCTGCAAAAGCCCTTGACCGTTTCAAATGCAGACAATGCTTCCAAGCCCATGTTTTCCTAGCAATTGAAGCGAAGTTCGTCAAGTCGAGCAGCACTAGTCCGCAGCTCCTGCCAGAGAAGTCACAAGTGATGCTGGATGTTAATGTGTCCAGATTTATCCGGAAAATCCTTGACTTTTAATCATATGATGTCATGTGCAGAAACAGCAAAAATATTGAAAATATCGGTATGGTATCAGTATAGTTTGTTTGTGTTGAGGAGGTCCTTTTCATCAACAGGAAACCAGCGCCAGAGACCAGTTTCCTTTGGCAAGAATATGCCATTTTGAATGATTTAAAGACTCAATCCAATTGTACAATCCTTTGGCAGATCAGGTACCATGTCACTTCAGCAAATCGATGCCAGATGATATTGAGAGCATTCAAGAGCCATTTCTTTTCACCACTCACTTCCCGACTCAATGAATGGAGCAAGGGTTTTCCCTCCACAAAAGTATCGCCTTTGGTTTGGCCTAGGGGCCGACCGACAAGGACAAAGTGTCGAAAAAGGCGTCCTGCAGGTTCTTGCTTTCAAATCCATGGTAAAGGGAGAGTGGAACTGGTGGCGGGTGTTGTGCTCCTCTCGCAAGGTGGGTTTGGCCACCTGGAATGCATTTGTTGAAGCGAAAAAAGAGGTCTGAAATGACAAGTTGTTCCTTTTTAAGGTGACCACCCAATAGATGCGAAGATCAGAAAGTCAGTTTTCTACACTGTTATCTGAGATGTATTCCGTCTTATCTTTCAGGGATAGGTGGTTTTGTTTCATGGCTGCGGAAGATGGAGGAAGACTCATGGTTTTCGGTACTGATTGTTTGGGGCCTGCAGACCTGCAGGCTGCAGGGACCACGAGATCAGCTGACATCTTACTATTAGCTTCCTGTTAGTAGTAGCGATGGCGATGGCCTCCAACCTACTTGCGATGGCCTCCACCGAGCATAGCGTCCGAACGCTACTAGGAAAGATGTTTGCAAATGCCCGATTCTTCTTCTGTTCATCTGGTCAATCAGGGTCTGGGTAGACATGGACAGCCATGTCTCATGAGTTTTTTAGGTGGCGTCACTTCTTTCCGCGATGCAGAACCTGTTCAGTCTTTCTGGTGGAAAAAAAGGGATCAAGTCGGGCAGGGCGCCGCAGAGAATGAGCCATCAGCTGGACTTTTAAAGTGCAATGTAATGCTTAGATTCAGATACTGTACATACTGTACCTCTGACATCCTGCTTGCATAGGTCAATACATGTCAATACAATTCAATATGTCAATGCTCAGAGAGTCTCTTGAATCATCCTGGACATTGGATGCACTCTTCTTTTTGCTCCACTGGTTATCCAATGTACTGTCAGATAAATCTTGGATCGTGTCCTTGATCTTTTTGATCTTGAGGGTGCCTCTGCTCATGTACGTAGATGGTTGATGCACAAGAGTCCCCAGAAGGAGATGTCTTAAATGTCTTAAACCCTTCAAGTATATATTTGAATAATCATCCAGTTGATGAAGCAACCTGATGTCCCCAGTCTCCATTCAGACGGCTTTCTTCATCCACTGTCTACATGGGAGTTCTCTCTCGCCAGGCTCCGAGTACCACGAGGACTTCGCTCGGGCGCCGGGATATCCCAGAACCGACGTACCGCGAGCGAGGCGTGCGGAGCTGCGAGAGAGGAGGCGCAACGGATGAATGCACAGTAAATCACAGTAACAACGGATGAACACCATCTATCAATGATGTTTGTATCGGATGAACACTCATGGCAAAAAAAAACGCCATCCCATTTGATCCCAAGTCTAGGACGTGGGTCACCCCATCTCCAACCTCGGATGCGAGGCAGATAGGTGCGGTCCGACGGGCACAAATTCTTCAGAACTGGTCCAACAAGGGGGTTGAGGGTATTAGTTCCACTGAAGATGAACCTGCAACCTCTTGTTGTTTTGGTATACTGTATAAGTTTCAACCATCTCGGCCTGATCGGGCGTGGGTGACGTTTTAGAAGTGCTAGATCAGTTCTTAAGCTACTTCAAACCTCCGGGGCTCAATTTGGCCTTCCTTGATAATGTTGATGTCAGCATCCCATTCTGGGATGTGTGTCCAAGAATGTGAACACAACCAAACACCAAAGCACCCCGTAAACTGCTTTCCTTCACAACAAACTGGTCTTCAGAGTCCCCATCCTGCAGCTTCTCAAGATTTGCCTGTTCCGCTTCCCGTCCCTGCCGTGATGAACTCGGAGCCCCCAAACTGTGCTTCCTTTCTGGCCGTTCTGGCGGTGTATCCCAGAGTACGTACTTCTTTTCGTTCCCCGCGCGGATGTGTTGGCCCAGGCTCGGCTTATTGGCACCGGGTTGCACCCTGGTTTGGCACTTGGAGATGTAGGAAGAGCTACTGAGCAACGATGTGTGTTTTCAAATGAAAGATGTTATGCGTGGAGCTCATCAATGTGTCGCATAAGCGTTTGTGCAGACCACTTCATCGGCTGCTGATGAATTTGCCTGATTCTGATAGATTTTACATGTTTGGTACTAGTATCCAAGTGTTCAAGTGACATGCCATGTGTTCGATGCAATTTCCACTGAATTCAAGGTGCATGCAATGCTTTTGGTTCCGTCCCAGGCTATAGGAGGGTACTTGGTTGCAAAACCAAAGTCCTGGGGTTCTAGTTGAAAATATGATGAAACATGTAATGCAAGAGACAAATCACAAGCGGTGTTTCTCCGGGAATCCACTCCGTTCAGGACTCGAAGAAACGGGTGAGCGACTCGACCACGCTCTGAGGTGGTCGATGGCGTTTTGGATCCAATGGCACCGGAGCTCATGTGGCGCTTGGCACCACAAGCTGGGCTCTTTCAGGTGTGGGATGAGAAGATGTTGGAAGTGGTTTTGGAGCTGAATGCTTTTCAGGGTTGGAACCCAATTTCATCCTGAAACCATCTGAAAGCGTGATGTTCTTGTTCGAGAAGGATTGCTTTCAGTCTGTAGCTTGCTCACTTTTGCACGGATGATCTCGGACTGAAGTCAAGTGACTGTCCAATAATGTCCAATATATTATAGGAGCTGCACAGCCATTCCAGCTTGGACATTTGGGCAATATGCTTTTACAAGGATTCTATAGGCTTCTGTTTAAGAGTCTACTGGTTGCATGTTGTGTGCCTTTGTGTGTGTGTTGTGTCCATTTGTTTTGTTGATTTGCCACTGGAGTCCGTTAAAACACGTTAAAGCGCATGGTAGCTTTCGCGTCGTCAGTCCTGCAGTCTGTTCCCACCTTTCTGGAGACCCATAGGAATTCATTCTCTTTCTAATGGCCTTTCTGTATGTATATAGAGGACTTTCTGGAGACCCGTTGGCGGCCTTTCTGGAGACCCAAGAACAGCCCTCCTCGATGTCACGTCTCATTTATTAAGCAGATTGTCAGCACAAAATATCAACGGAATTCTTGCCAACCGCTCGGTCCCCTTTGTGAGTTCCATGGTATGTCTCTTTTTTGCAAACAAGAGCCGGCAACGATGGCGCCAGGAAACCTTCGCAGTGGTCACAGAGGCCTTTTTCGGCCTCGGTGGGAGTCGCGACAGGGCTTCTTTTCGGAGTCCTGCAAAGCAAGGTTTTTCTGGTGATGAGAACATGGCTGGTTTCCAATGGCATGAATAATACAATATTTTAATATATGGTCTTGCAATTTTCTTAAGAGATCATTTATAATTGCAAGACCATGCCATCTATTTTTAAATAAAAGAAATTCTCATAATATAAGAATAGATGTTATTCAATGGAAAAATATAAGAGAATTAAAAAATTTTCCATTTCATAAGAGCTTAGGCCCCTGTCAAAGAGGGGATTTTTACAGGGTAGCTGCCAGAGATTATTATAAAAGTGATCGCCATAAATTTCACTTTCCTTTTGCTCTTTGAAGTGGACCGGCGATCACAAATAATAAAGAAATATATGGGGAGCAATCTTTAATATTATAGCTCTTTCATTTTATATTTATAGATTGCTCCCACAATAATAAGATATAATAAGAGATAGACGATGACCCTCGTTTCACGGCATTGTACGTACGTGGTTTTTTGGAGCCCAGTTGGAGTTGTAGACCTTCGCCTTCCACAGAGCTTGGTCGTTGCTTTTTGATTTAACCATTGGGTTTGGTGTAGACCGATCACACTGGGAGGCAGTGAAACGATCGGTCTCCCCGTGGTCCTCTTCCGGATCTCCGAGGTGTTGACTGGCGCGGTTCGTATCGGCCAACAGCCGCAATGGCAGGATGACTGGATGATGATCGCCTTTGGCCTCACCAATAGGCGGGCGCAAGCATCAGTTGTTTTGAAAGCAGGTGCTGGGATGAGGTTTCTGCATTGTTTTAGATGAATCAAAAGTCTCCAAAGATCGTAAAGCGTAGAATCCCGTGATTCCAACGAACTCCCAAATCAGATTTGTTGGATAGTGGACGGTATAACTAAAGTTGTGAATACAGCTTGGAAAAAAACTCAGATGACATGCGTATGCTGCATACGGTGCATCATAATTTACTCGATAACAATCAACGGAATTGTCGAACCTTATCACATTTAAAGTTTGCCCTCAGTACCTTGGGGACAGGGGGGATGTGTTGTATCCTAATGGGGTGAAAATAAGGAGTCTTGCTCAAATTACACATGTTTGTGTAATTTGGTCCCTACCACCTTCCCGAGCTAGCCGACATAGACAAACACGTTCTCGGCAAGATTGTTCTATCTCCCCTTCAACATGACATTCCCCACTCGTTATGTTTTTGTCCCAGGCCTTTGGCACCTGTGCCTGAAGAAGTTGCGCAGCTCAGGCAGGCACAAATGTGATGAGAAACCAGTGGGCCTGGGAGTCCCGGATGGGCAAATGCTGCTGCCTGATGTGGGATTGTTCAGAGATTTCCAGATTCAGATGTTCCTTTTTTAATACTATACTGGATTCTCATACAATACTGATGTTGAGTCAAGAATCACTCAATCAGCAGAAGCTTTTAGATACATGATATATAATGATATATATATATATACATGTCTCAAACAGTCTCAGATTCTCAACATCCTTTGTAAGTTTTGAAAGCCCCCAAAAAATGCTTTCTTCGCTCCCCCGGCTCCCCGGTCGTCGCACCAAGCAAAAGCGATGGCCTCAAACCGCAGGTTCGCGGCCGATGAGGCGAAGCGACGGAGCTCCTCCTGGCGCTACCGGGATCGCCTCGCGGGACCACCCAGGGCGGCGAAACCGAGTGGAGCCCACTCCGTCGGACGCGGTCGCTACGGAGCAAAAGGCCAATCGAAACCGAGCGGGAGCGATCGGACGCTACTACGTTCGAGGCTCCTGGCATCGCTACGAACGGAGCAAGAAGCTACGAACGTAACAAAGGGCATTCCACCGGTCGGACCACCGGTCAACATGCGCCGGTCGATGTGTGTGTGTGTGTGCCGTGGGTGGAGTTCGGCTGTTTGAATGCTTGTTTGTTGTTTGTTTGAGTGGTTTTTGGAGGTGCTTGGTCGAAAGGAGGTGAAGTGCTTGGATGTGGTTTGGTGGCCCAATTGAGACGTTGGGCTGTGATTCTTTGAAAAGTTTGTTGGAGAGGTAAACGAAATGGGGGAATGGGAAACTGTAACGGTAACATCATCTAACCTTTATGAAACAGCATTTCTCGTGTTCCAATAATCAGAATGATGCTGTTTCGTGCTCCTTTCTTTTGCTTCTTCCATGGAACGGGTCAAAGCCTGCAGAGAAGCCAAACGCAAGGCGAGTTCCTTACCCCAGCCGTCATGGATGTCCTGAGATGAAGTCCTGACAAATCATTGGAACTACTCTATGTGCAATTCTCACCCAAAGTCACCAGAAAAACACTATCCCATCTCCCTTCCAAGTTTGCTTGGTGTAGGATAGGGAGACGATCAGCCAGACCTTCCAGTTCAAAGAAGAGTAGAAGACCATTGGGGAGGACATGCACACCCATATGGCTGTGGGTCGACACTTTCCTGTGCACCCCCTCCTGGTAGGTTGACGTTTGACATACCTAACACCTACCCCTTTCCAAGGTAGAGCCTTTCCAGGTGCCAGGCTGCAAACTGAAAACTATTGGGTTGTAAGAGGAATATCGTCGGGACATGTTCAGGTCCATGCCAGCTCACTTGTTTCCATGTCGGAAACCCAACCACCGTCCCCAACTTCGGGCCTTTTCGGCTGACGCGAGGTGGTGGGCCCCACAACAGGGCGCGGTGAAACGGAGGTGCCAAAAGCTCCGCAGAAGCGAAAACGGCTCAAAAGCCCAAGTGTTGATTCGAATTGAACTTATATAATTCTATTTATGTTTTCTAATGGCTTCTTGCTCCTAGTAAGGCCAGGAGCCCCGTTCGTAGCGATGCTTGAAGGTAGGTGGCGTCCTGTGTTTGTGATCGTATTCAACCATCATGAAGGAATAGTGGAGGGAGAGTGTCTCGCAACCTCGTTGGGAGGTCCCTCCCGCATCTATGGCATAGTTGTTGCTTCGATCTCTGAGTGGCGTCCGTAGCAAAAGATGCACAAATTTGACCCATCAGATGTTCAGAACATCATGTGTTTTGCCAGAGGATGCACTTCTGAACGTTTAGCCTTTTTGTTGCTGCCTTTTGGGTGTGTGTTGGTCTTTGGATTGCGACATTTTTTAGTCCCCATGGTTACATCTACCTGTCGGGATTTGATTGGAATGTCGATGAAATTGAGACCTGACAATTTAGACCTGCATGCCCCAATCATTTAGCTCCTTAACTTGCTCTCCCAGGATCCATCCGATCCATCCCGACCGCATCGATGACCTGGGACAAGGATGTCCCGGTCGCATCGAGGCCTCTCAACGTGCTTATGAGCGCTTGGGCCTTTGCTTCTCCATGGTCGAACCCAGGTGGGTCGCGGATGTGGGAGTTCTATGAAGTTGTCAGAAATATATAGGTCCGAAGGGAGAAAGCCTGATGGGATTTGGGAATGGATCTCTTGATATGGCCATGAGTCATGACGAAGAGACAAAGGTCTTGAGAACTGATCGAAGTGTCTCAAATTACAAGAGCACCAGACAACCAACAATGTGGAATTACATGAATTTACGAGATGATAAAGCCAAAACCAACCACTACTGCTGGCATGCCTCTGGTGTTTTATAGATAGTGAAAGATTTACGGAAGTGTTCTTTTTGGGGATGAATCCGACCAATCCCTAAAGTAACGAAATCATGGGTAGTAGGGAAGTTCGATGAAGTTCGTATTGTTTCGGGGTTGCCATCAGTTCTTCCTTCGAAGCTTCCCAAGTCGGGGCTGCGTGAGTGGGTTCACGGAACATGCCTTCGGGCCGGGTGGGTGAAGGCTGTATGGCCAGAAAGTGACACTTCGTTGGCCCGGTTTGGTAGCTTCTGGTTCCTAGTAGCATTCTTGCTCCTAGTAGTAAGGCCAGGAGCCCCTATGAGCGTCCTTGCTCCTAGTGGCGATGCCAGGAGCCCCTAGTAGCTTCTTGGAGGGGGCTGGACTTGGTGGCCATGCATTCCTTCCACCCTCGCCCACCCCCTTTCCTTGGTGATGCAGAAAGCGACGTAGTCGTTAGCGTTCCTGGTAAGCTCTAACCATCGTAGAAGCTAGCGAACGAAGCATCGGTTAATGCCGTGGACGTGTGGCAAATGTGGAAAGAACGTTGCCAGACCACGGCCATTTCATTTCGTTTCAACAAAGCATAACCAAACCATTGGAACATATGTGAACACTTGTTTCGATATGCTGCTTCCATAAATACCTGAATACCAACTCAGATAACATCCACATGGCGATGACCATAAACCACTTCTCGTCAGCAAAGAGGTGTCTCCGTTTTCCAGGTGAACGATCTTCCGTCGTGCCCTGCTTCAAACGAGCCACGTTTGGATGCAGAGACCAGATGAGACCCTTACTTGGAGGTTTCAGACCATCCTGGAGACAAAATGACCAGATTCAAAATCGAAGTGATTCAAAATGACCAGATTTGGGGACATGGAGCAGATGCTGTTCATTTGCGCCACCGTCGAGCGTAACCACAGTAACACAGGTGAGTGTTTGGGACGCTCCAACTGCCAGGCTGATGGAAAGTGGCTGGCACGTGGAGTTGACAAAAGAGCGGAGGGTGTTGAGAATGATGCATTCCAAAGAGAAAGATCCAGGGCACTTCAGATGGTACTCCTGTGTCCTCGTGGGTTTGGATTGCTATGTTTTTGAGACATACAAAATTTATTCTGGCCCTCCAAACCTCCGGAGTTCTACATGAAAGCAAATCCCATATTTTGAGAGTTCCAACGTCCAACATTGATTGTTGATGGAGGGATGCGGGTTTCCATGTTCCAATCACTGGGTGGATGTAAACAGACCAACACCACCACTTTGGAATGCCCGAAACCGTGCACCTTGGAATACCCCAAGGCCCACCGGTGCATAGCTTCCAAGGCCCAGCGGCGTGTATGTCTACCAAAAAAGAACTAAGAACCGAGCAACCTTTCGCAGGGGGAACCTTCAGGTTCTATTTGAGTGGAAGGGTTGTCAGATGCTGATCCTTCTATTCTTAGGTTGGGAGAGCGTTCAGGAGCTGGGGATATCTACATTCCAGATTCACAGTTGAAAGGGAGTGAATTCTGGCACTGGGCCAGGAAATTGTTAGAGCGGAAGGTTATGAGCACTCTAGGTAGCAACTCCAGGTGTGTGCAGCTGATGGACCAGTCCTGGTCCCGTAGGTATCATCTCAAAGGTCCTGGCTAAGAGTGTAATTAGACCTGGATTTTCATTTACCATCACAGTGCAAAGTGACACTCTGCGCTAGACCAGCAAGAGTGTCTGACTCTGGCTTTCGGAGTGTGAAACACTCGTCGTCGCACCCGGCCGTGGTGACATGACAACAGCTTTTCAGGTGACATGAAGTTGGCTCAATAGCCGTCAATAGCCCATGACAGAACCGTGACAACATGAGCCCATCCAAACCCACAAAAAAGCACCAAACCCACTTCGCGCCGTTGTATACAGACGTTGAGTGCACCCCCATGTGGCGGTGCAGTCGGTATGCAACGCAGCCTCGCCCTGAGTGCGATAGGGTTATTATTGTCATTATTACTACTATATTATATATATATACATAAAGAGAGAGAGAGAGAAGAGGTAGGTACTCGGGGGATACCATATATATATATATATACTGGATGTGTTATCATTTATGTGTACAGTATATATAATACACATGTGTGGATGAAAGACGATACAACTGATCAAAACATGAGTGCAACAAAATTTGCAAGCATTTTTTTAAAATCACCACTAACGCGACAAGTAACCTGTGTGCCCTGGACATTTATTTGTTGAGCTATGCTCATATCTCACCCATAGTTGTACCACGTGTTCAAAAAGGAAATATGGGAAAATCCAATACATCTCATGGGTCACTCTTCTACCGTGTGTACCAGATGATAAAAGAATAGTCTTTTTCATGGCTCCCGTCTCCCGAGACGCCGTTTGCCGTGTTGAGGCGCAATCTACAGGAATTGGTGAATTTCCACAGGAAACCAATGTCGACATCAATTCTGCGAGGTTGTCTAAACCAATGCCAGAATGTCTTCGCATAGTTGTGGGAGGTTTACAACCATGGTTTTCCTGTGGATGTTCCCTTAAACCAATCGGTGTAAAGATATCTAACTTTTCTAAAGTGTCCGCCTGAGTCCAACTGTGGAGCACGAAGTCCAAGAAACCCACCCAACTGGGATTTGTGATAAAAGTCCTTTCCATGTAGGATGTCCATTCATGCCCTGACAAAACATCGAAAACTGCTTCAGGCACGGGTGATTGAATACATCATCCATCTAAACCCCGGTGAAGTCCGGTGGTTCAATCCGGATTTTTGTTGAGAGTCAAGTAGGGGCCACCAGCCCACAAAGCCCTTAGGTCTTGAGTTCTCCAGACAACGCCCTCCTCGATGGCTGAAGGAGGCGTGTCGGTTTGCTAAGCGAAACGGACCCCCCAAGCGGGCGGGTCACATGGCGGGTGGGTCGATGCCAAAGCCTGTCAAAGACCCCAAAATTCACTGCCAGTGGTAGTAGTGGTAGTCACTGCTGGTAGATTCACCGTGGTGACCCACATCCATTGGAATTACAAGAAGAACCATGTGCCACGACAAAATTAAGGTATGTAGCAGGGAAGTGCAGACTTGCGAGATCAACTGTTTTTTTTGGGGCCTGGCTATCTGAGATCTTGCCATTGCAAGATGTGTTCCTTTCCACGCTCTCAACAACCAGGGGTGGCTGAGGACCCTTTCCGGACTTCTTAGTGGTCAATGAGACCTCCTAGCCAAGAGGGAGATTCGTCTTCCAGGGACGCAGGTTCCATCGCTATCCGTAACCAGCCAAACCAGAATGGGCCCAGAATGGGCCCGCCCCCAAAAAAAGAATCCGATCTCATGGAGCATTGGGGTGCGTTGAGAATGTTCTTGAATAAATCTACTAAATCAGAGGAACATGCTACGAAATCAGACATTCAGATGCAGCAGGAAGAGTTGATTCAATAGGCTTCAAATAGAAAATAATCAGAGCCAGGTGGCATTGATACTTGGGATGTTTTTTTTTCTTCGGCTGTCTTGCTCAGTGGCACGCCAGTGGCACGCCAGGCACGGAAGAAAATGCCAAGGAGGTGGCAGAACCATTTGTGTTGGGATGCAGGGGCTGGCAGGGAGCGGAGGAGGGAGTATTCTTTGGCCGATTTCTAGGACTCTGTTCAGGTTGAGCGTCTTTTTGTCGGCAGAACGAACTTCTTGGGAGGCTAGCGGCTAGCGGCTAGTGCAGCGTGTGATCCAGTTGTTGCCTTTCGTTCTTGATCTTCGGACTGCACTCAAGCTTCTTCAAAGGCAGCGCATTTTACCCTGTCCTCTTTGCTGACCATTTGGTGGAGCCAAGCAAGAGGTTTGAAGTAAGTTTCACTCGGTATATTCTGGCGCCATGGGAATCCCAATTCTGGTGCCTGACCCAAGTACTCATCTAAGAAAGTCCACAAAAAAGGGAATCTGCCTACGTACATCCTCTTCGAAGCTAATATAGTAACTTGCTACGTAGTGCCCTCCTTTTTACCGCGCCCTTGGGCACCAAACAAACCTCGAATTCCGCAGTCACCCTCTTGAACCACTGTGGGCTTCTCACTCTACTTGGGATGTGTAAGACCGCCATGCATCCCGGTATTCAAGACATTCAAAGGAAGAAATGAGCATCCGTCCACTGGCAAGGAAGAAATCCTGCACGACTGCAGGACCTGAGGTAGAGGATATATGTTC